TGTCGGGGCGAGGTGGTAATGGGATTCTCGTCCCCATCTCCGCCATTAATTTCATTATTTGTCCCCGTGAAATTCTCAATTTATTTTTGTGGGAATCGGAAACCCGTGATAATTTTTTCCCATTTATTATTACAACATAATTAAAAAAAATCTAATTTATATTAAGGAACTACCAATATAATCTCATGGATTTTAATCTTTGATAATAAATAAATAAAATAAAATAAAATTAAATTGGCACGACCCCACGAATTACCAAATTTACCCTTCTCCAACGGCGGTGCCGTGGTGGCCGCAGCTCACAAAATACAAAAAGGAAAAAGACAAAAACAAGAAATTAGGGTTTATAACACAAGAGAAACGAATTAACAAAAAACAATTAAAAGTTTCATTAGAGATTCAGGTGATCTCTCGCCTTCGTTCTCCCCGCGCCAGGATCAGGTCTGAATTTCTCAATCTCGACTTCTAATTTGTTGTCAATTCGTTTGTGTATTTCATTGTCTTTTGTGAGGCAGTGGTTAATATTTCATTTTCGTGTTGGGGTTTTGATCATCGAATACGGATACTGCGTTTGATCGGTTTGTATTACATTGTGGAATGTGGTTCGGAAATGGATTTGATTTTCGTTGGTTTTTGTTTTTTTGATTTCCATGCAGTTATTCTCATGGCTTCCAGTAGTAACAAGGAATCTCTGTCTGGTAAGCAGCCAAATTATGGTGCCGCGGTGTGTGATAGCTATAGATTGTGTGTTTGTTTATTTGTAGTAGTGTGCAATTTAAGCATTTGGATATGAAATTAGGTCGTGTCTACAGTACAATTCATGCGTGATAGCTCTATTACTACTGCTTTGGAAACCTTGTTCGGTTCATTTTGGTTCATATATTACGCCTGTCTTTACATTTTTGCAGTACTGTGTGGATATGGGGTTCGTATAAGGAAGAAGATGAGCAAAATTCTAGAAATGAGCTTAGTTTTACGCTTATGAATGATTTACAGTTTTAAGATGCATTACTTTCTCTCATGTAACTTCGTTTTTCTTTCTAACATTTTGTTTTCAAATGAATTAAACAGGTTCTTCAGACAACAAAAACGCTAAATCTGAAACATCCTCCTCGGACAATCCTCCACAGGCAGCACCCCAAAGAACTAGCTCTATATTTGATGACCTGCCTCAGGGCAGCCCTTTTGATTTTTCATCCATGACTGACATTCTTAATGTAAACGATTTTTCTTGAACTCTTCTTTATTTTTATTTTTTTTTCCCTTTTTTAATACTCTTACTTTGCTCCGAGATTTCTTGTTTGGGCCAAATCTTCAGCTTGAACTTCCATTTTATTATCAAACCTTGTTGATTGTACAATGAATTCTAATTTATTATACACTCAGGATCCTAGCATCAAATCATTAGCTGAACAGATAGCAAAAGATCCTTCATTCAACCAGATGGCTGAGCAGCTTCAACAATTTCAGAGTCCACCAGCTCAAGATGGAATCCAGTTTGATCCTCAACAATACTTTGCCACCATGCAACAAGTCATGCAGAATCCTAATTTTATGTCTATGGCAGAGCGTCTCGGTACCACATTAATGCAGGTATTTAATCTCTTTTTAGTTCATTGAAACTGTTGCTTGTTGATTGATCGACTATTTATGTAGAATATTCTGTTGTACTGGAGATAAAATTCCATCTTAATTTGTTCACAGGATCCATCTATGTCTCGCATGTTTGAGAGTTTTTCTAATCCAGCAGATGGTGATCAGCTTGAGGAACGAATGGCACATATTAAAGAGGATCCTTCATTGAAGCCTATATTGGAAGAGATAGAGACTGGCGGTCTCCCTTCCATGATGAAGTTGGGAACATTTTACTATAAATTCTGAACCATCGAGTTTAACACATCTTATTTAGTTTTCCAAATTATGTTCGTGCTGAAATTAAAAAATTCCTTGCCCTTAGGTACTGGAATGATAAAGAAGTCTTACAAAAGTTGGGGAAAGCAATGGGGCTTCCTGTCCCAGCTGAAGCAGCCACCTCTACTGACCATTCTGGGCTAGATGATTCTGAAGAACCGGAGAATGAGGATGAGTCAGTTATTCATCATACTGCAAGTACTGGTGATGTTGAGGTACATAGCAACAATTTGTTTTGTTTCTTTCACATGCTGCATGGTTGTTATATCTCATGCTAGTGGTTATGATGTATATTTTATAATTCTTATGGAGGTGATAAAACATTGATTTGATGGTCAGTATACTCGAATCCCGTATTTTTGGTGGATAACATAGGGAAAATTTCATGATTGGTAGAAGTGCAGTTGTTCCGATTTGTTTATTGTCATATTTATATTTTCAGTTATATTGGTTTGTATGCTGGACCTGGACCAGTAAATTTGTGGTTGTCCTAGTTTTCTTATTTTTTTTGAGATAAGATGTCATTGTAACCCGGAACTTTTCATTATTTTTATGCACCCATAAGAATTAACTTGTTCTACCCATAAGAAAAAGAAAAAAAAACATTTTTCTTGCATTTAAAGAAATGTGTATTTTTGTGTAGAATAATATCCTTGTGCACAAAGGACACATTTTACTCTTTCCTTTGATTGGCATTTTGGATTTCTTCTCCGATCAACTAGTTAAAAATGCCCTTTTTACATACATATATCTTTTATATATATGCTTCCATCGGTAGTAGCATAATTTATGCTTTGCATCTTTCATTTATTGTGATGTCTATTGTCACTTCTTGTTATCATGTACATTTTTGTTTCTATCAAATTGAGTTGTGTAACTTGGGCTTTTGTTTATTGCCCTTGTGATATGGAGCTTGCATGTGAAAGCATTGTTCTCTGGAAAAAAATGTGTTGGAGAAATCATTGTTAATCTGCTTCTTTTGATTGAAAAAGCTTACCACCTCGCACACTCTTTTATTCTCATTTAAAGAAACTTCTAGTCTGAGGAACCTAATTTTTGTCCTCGTTTATTAGGGGTTAAAGAAGGCGCTTGCATCTGGTGCTGACAAGGATGAAGTAGATTCAGAAGGGAGGACGGCATTGCATTTTGCTAGTGGATATGGCGAGGTATGAATAATGTACCTCAGCTTTAACCTGCCTTTATATACTCATTTTTGTTACGAATCCATTTTTGCGTTCACTTGTTGATTTATATGTAAAACATGAGGCATTTCTTCCATGTTAATATATAAGAGGAATCCTACGGAAGGGATCGATTCTCTTTGGTAAAGCTGCAAAATAATTTACTTCCCTTCGTAAAGATGCGTACAAAGAATTGTTAGCATCAAAGCTTTGGAGTTTGGACTACTTTTCTTGTTCATTCCTTATACTTAAAATGAAAATGCAGGCGGTTCTATTATAGAGTACTCTAAGGGTGCTAATTAACACCATTGATTTAAGGTGTTACTAGCTAGGTGGTTTAAAACGTGTAAAATATCATATACTTTATTTATGCTTGTTCTTCATTCAATTGTATGTAAAATAAGGTTAAAGAAGGCGGTCTTAAAGACCGAATTTCTGTAATCCTCATGTTGTGGGCAGCTGCAGTTTCTATATTGCAATATCAGTAGAAATTATAATATCGATAACGAGGGTTGTCCATTCCGATGTCCCGACACTGGACAATACCCAAAATCCTGCCCCCTCCATGGTCCCTAATTCCCTTCATTTATAACTAAGGCTCCCCTAGCTAATCACCACTATGCCCTTATGAATAACACATATAGTACTCTCATATGCTCATCTTTACCGTGAAAGTATTATGCAAGTTTTTTAAAGGTTGTCTAGTTGTTCCGTATTCCTTGACTCGGCCTTGTAAAACTAAGATCATCCCTAAAATTGTTCCTCAGGTTGAATGTTCTCAAATCCTCCTTGAGGCTGGAGCAAAAGTGGATGCTTTAGACAAGAACAAAAACACCGCCCTTCACTATGCAGCTGGTTACGGGCGAAAGGACTGCGTGGCGCTACTCCTGGAAAACGGCGCTGCTGTGTAAGCCTGCCAAACTCCTGGTCGTTTGTTCAGTAATGTTCCATTTTCCAGTTTTCTTAATGCACTTATCTGTTCCCCTACCCCATTGCCTGTTGCAGTACTCTCACAAACATGGATGGAAAGACTCCAATCGATGTAGCCAAGCTAAACAACCAGAATGAGGTGCTGAAGTTGCTTGAAAAGGATGCCTTTCTGTAACTTAATCAATCATTCGGTGACATTTATGGTATTTTCTGCATCTACATCTGCTCGGTACATGGTTCCCTGATGTGTTAGAACGAATTTAATTCCATAAAGTGCAAACTATATCGTTACGACTCGTGGTGTTTTATTTTTCTCTCCATTGCTTTGTCACAATAATTTTGTAGTTTCAAATGATTACAGTCAGGTTCAGTACCCTATTTGTACATTTGGTTTCTTCTTTTACTACATGATTTATTTGTGTTATACTTTATGATTTTGTTGAGAATTTCACCTTTTCCTTTGTAAAGTCATTTAGAGACCCAATTTACAATCAAATAATCTCCTCTTTAATGTTATATTTGCATAGGCGTATTCCCACAGAATTAAGTTACAGTGGGAAATTTCTTACCATACAATCTTTAATCTATAAATTTATAAATTTTAGATGAGGTGTTGGTTGAAAGTCCCATATTGACTAATTTAGAGAATGATCATGGGTTTATAATCAAATAATACTATTTTCATTGATATGAGGCCTTTTAGGGAAGCCGAAAGCAAAACCATGAGAGCATATGTATAAAGTGAACAATATCATGCCATTGTAGAGAGTCGTTTATTTAACAGTTCAACAAATTGTTTAATGTCAATGTAATTTCAAAACAAAAAATGAAAGTTCAAAACAAAAAACCAAGCCTCTTTCTTTTAGGGAGTCTGACGCTTCATCATCCCCTACCTACAAAAAAAACATAAGCCCCAAAAACTCTTCAAGTGTTTCTACTTGGTGGCCTGTGCAATTATGTTACTTATTGAACTAGCTTGCTCCTTTGCAGTCTCCACCAACGAATCCTACAAACCAAAATCAATTAACATAAACCCAAACTGAGATCATAAGGTGCTGCAAACATAAAAGGAGAGTTACCTGTGCAGCTATCAATCTTGCTACTGTTTTCTTGCTAGATTCTTGGAGTTCTCCAGCAATTAGAAGCTCATCCAATATATAATACGCCTTCAATGTTAGAAAAGGAAAAAAAGTACACAAAGCATTCAAAGTTTCATATCAAGGACGTGAACATGATCGTTCACTTAAGACAATGTTACTCGCGCGCAAGCAAGAGGACAAGTAATTCAGATGCATCGGGCTTACACGACAGGTGAAAGAAAAGTACACAATGCATTCAAGGTTTCATCTCAAGGACGTGAACGTGAACGTTGACAATGTTACTGGCGAGAAAGCAAGAGGACACGTAATTCAGATGCATCGGGCTTACTTACACAAATGTCTAGTAGAGGCAACGAGATGAAAATTAAAGAAAATGTGCATCTTTAATATAAGCAAGTGAATAATACCAAGTGCACAGTGCATTCAAGGTTTCATATCAAGGACATGAACGTGGACATTCACTTAAGACAATGTTACTTGCGAGCAAGTAAGAAAGAGGCCGAGTAATTCAGATGCATCGGGCTTACTTACATAAATGTCTAGCAAAGGCAACGAGATGCAAATTAAAGAAAACGTGCACCTTTTCTTTAATAAGCAAGTGAATAATACCTTGTGAAAGTTGAAGATCAAATCCAACTCACAGACCTACAAACATGAATAAAAGATCACAAAGAACGATCTCAAACACCTTATGAACTAAAATTAAATTCACTTACACTGCCGAAGTAACGATCCAAAATCTCAACATAATGATGAATAATTTCAAGGATCTCTAATTCATTGTCCTCCTGATCAATGCATAGGCAAAAGTAAAGACTAGCATATCTGCATTGCACATCCAATAGAATCATTAATCATCTGTAATGTGGTAAATATTTGGATTGCAGAACACATTAATATACCACATCGTACCGTTTATAGACAGCTTTGAGTCCCCTCCATTCCACAAAGTTGCAAAGTTTAGGCGCCCGATTTAGAATCATTCCACTAAGCTCACGGATAACCTTTTTAAAGAACGAGAGCAGACCCGAGCACGTGCCATAATATGGTAAGTCCAATAGATCCTAGGGGTACTAAGACTTATTGAAGCAAATAAGCATTCAAACGTCTTTGGATTGGAAATTAAGAAAAGCTATTAGAATTACATTACAGAATGAGGCAAATGGCTAACCCACCTTAGATCTCTCCTTCTGAGAATAAGGAGAATACCATTTGGTCAACCTCACTTTTCCTTGTCTACTTATAAGAAGCACGAAGTGAATCTGGACATTTACACCAACAACATCAGTTAGAGCACCATGCAAGACATACGCTAGGCCAAATTTTCTTTACTGGAGCAACAAAAGGTTGAAGATAACCTAAGTTGCACTGAAGAAAGCACGCATTATTGAGAAATTTTGAATGATGAGGAGATGCCAAAGGGATAAAAAGAAACACCCCAAATCAGAGGAGCCAAACAACTGGCCATATAGAATAAGATCTTATGAATCCTTGAGAATTTCATCGTTCTCGAGCCAAACAAGCTTGAGAACAAAAGAAGTGAAACAAGAATCGCCACAACAATTCAGCAGGAACGAACACAACGAATCAAACAACAAAAAGAAACAAATGAGCAATTCGGATGTCAGCTAAGCAAAGATATGAATCCTTACAGCACCGAGATCACTCCAAAAAATTTCGAACGACACAAAAATTCAGCAGCAAAAGAGAAACCAATTAAACCATCGCATCAAGAAAGAGCAAAGCAGATGCGCGAACGTAGCAATTTCTACATTGAAACAATCAAAGCCTAGAAATGAATCAAAGCAATGAAATCAATTACCATTTTGGTCTGAACTTTCAGGTATCAAAAGTTTCAATTCCAGAATCCTCAACCGATCCCTCCGATCAAGGACAGTTCCTTGTCCGTTGTTCCGCTGCAAAAATATATTTCATTCAGAATTCCTACCCGCCGAAGGCTTCGGGGTGCAAAATGGGCCGAGTTCAATTAGGCCCATTTAGTGATATTGGGCCGTGGGATTTTGTACATGCGAATTACTAGCCCAATCTCAAAGCTTTACGAGTCTGATAGATCTTTTTCCCGGAAAATCGTTGACATTTTAAAAAAAAGTTCTAGTCGTTGACATTTTATTGTTTTTTAAAGCGTTGACCTTCCTCCTAAACTTGAGCGCGTGGGATTAAATTATAAAGAAAAAAAAAAAAAACAAGGTATAAAAAATGAG